CATCTGACATATAAATTACATAATACTGTACAACGGCAAAATCTATAATATAAAAATATTTATTTAAAAAAACAATTGTAATAGTATCCTTAAAAATACATTTTTAGGTGCATGAGCTCATTTGATTCACACTAGAAGTCTGTCAGATCAATCTTTCATTCAACTTTGTAGATGAGGAAACTACGTACTAAAGAGAAAAGTCCTACAGTTCATGAAAGGAAGGCAGGATTTAAATCCAAGTTGCATGAGACCAAATCCTGGGTTCTTTTCACCAAGGCCCTGTGAAGCTGGAAAGAATCTGAGACAAATAAAGGCCACAAGATTCTGTGTGATTTCTCATCTCTTGCTTCTCTTTTGTGTTCTCTTATTCACCCCATCAAACACTCATCTCCACTTCACTATCCTTGTTGCTGTTCCTTGCACTTGCCAGACATATTCCACTTTAGGACCTTTGCACTGGATGCTCCTTTTCTCCTGGAACGTTCTTCCCCAGAGATTGTAGAGATAATTTTCTTACTTCAAGGTTTTCCCGTTTTCACTCTCTAAAGCATTTCTACCACTATTCTACTCAGCACTGCACTATACTCTTCCTGATCACTCTTTAACATACTTGTAACAAAGCCATGTGTGATGATTGTTTGCTGCGTTTCCTCCACTACAATATACGCTCCAAGAGGAGAGCAGGAATTTTCATTATTTTCTCACTACTGTATTCTAAGCACCTAGAATGCTGCCTGGCACACAATCAGCACACAATAAAATGTTGTTGAATCCATGAATTTTCCGAGTGACAAGGAGCAGTTATCCTTTTGAGAGTGCTGCTTCTGTTGTGTGCTTGGGGCAGAATGCAGGCTGCAGTGGGCCCCAGAGTGAATGCTGGTAAGGGTGGGAAAGAGAAGAGGAAGAGAAAGTTAGTCAGTGCCTTGAGAAGTTTGGTGATGAAGAAAGGAGATCAGAAAGTGGGTCATGAAGCAGAAGAAGAGTCGAGCAAAAGTTTGAGCCTTCCTTGTATGATGAGGCAGACCTGCGCCTGCTTGTGTGTTTAATAAATCTGTGTAAGAAAACACTAAAGATTCAAGACAGGAGGACAAATAGGAAAGGAAGAAAATAATAGACCTGGCCATATAGCTAAAGAAACTATTTGTCCAGATCATTCACATCATTCAAGAGCATTTCTAATGGGCATGGAAATCCAGAGCAAAAGCAAATGGAATCAGAGTGGCTGCTGCTTCTGATACCTGGAGCTCCATGTTAGCAACGTTGTGGAAATTCACTGAAGCATTCCACTAGAGACTGTGTTGCTATCTCCACACACCACGTGACATCTGAGATATAAAAGTAAGGGTTGCCACTCCCGCCTCCAACCAAAACCAGAATATTATTTAATATATTCCATTACTTTGGACAGGTCTTCTGAAAAGGCTAGAGAAATGTAACTCATCCCAGTTGCCAATATATACAAATGAAGATGTCCCTAGCATATAGCTGCATACATTCCTGGGTAATATGGTGGTTGCAGTAGGTTCATTTGGAAGTGCAAAGTACTTCACTCATGGACCTTCACATTTTCTCTGTCAGTATGCATACTTCGGCTCTCTTGTTTAGGATGATCACACAGATACTTGCTGATCTTGGGATAACTGACTTCCTTTTCATCGGAGTCTCTTATTTTTACAGAATAGATGCATCCTCTATATGGGAGAAAAAATGAACTGAAAGTTGGAATACTAATCTCACTTCTAATTCCAGTTGTATACAAATTCACAAATGAGACTTTGGAAACATCACCTTTTGGTCCTAACCCTATTCCTGCAAAAGGAAGAGTGCTAGGCTAGATAATATCTAAAGATCTTTTCTGGGTCAACACTAGCTAGTAACTGCTCTTGTCAAATAAGTTAACAAAGACAGAAAAAGCCTGAAAACAGAAGGGATATCACAATCATAATTCCAAGAAATCTGTTTTTAGCAGCAGAGTTTTTACAGAATGTAGTAAGAATTATAGTTACAAAGTTTGTACAATGGGCAGGGCATAGTTCTAGGTACTAATGAAGAATACAGAAGAAATAGATTTTCTTTGTCCAGGGACAAAATGTGTATTGTTCAATTACAATTAAAGGGTATATGAGCCCTTCTTCCCTGGGTGTATAAGACCCAGAGTCCCTTCTCCAGGTCCCAGAGAAAGTCTGTCATCAAGAGAAGAGGATTGACTTGGTTGCAGCAAGTCTGAGGACAATCTTGTAGTTCGTGATGCCACCATAGAAAAAATAGTTGGCTTAATCTTTGGAGTCATTTGCCAGGTTGTGCCTATTATGAAAAACCTGTTACATTGTATATATAGTTCATATAACTCTGCTTCTATTCTTGTGTTCCACATTATTTTGGGCACATGGGATACTTTTGGGCAGAAGGGACTTTGTGGAAATCGTTACCTTGGCTTAAAATATTCTAATTGAATCTTTTGAAGTTTGTTGATTATCCATCAAAAGATAAAATGTTTAAAAATAAATATTCTGGAGAAAATAACAATTGCAAACTTTTACCGAACACTTAATGTCTAGACCATGAGGTACTGTATTTATTGTTTTTCCAGGATTCTCAATTTTTTTTTTTTTTTTTTGCTCAAACGGCTTTATGAAGTATGTACTGTTATCCTCATTTTGCATATAAAACAAGTGAAGCTTAGTCACATTAAGTAACTCCTCCAAGTCACCATTAGTTAACTTTAAAACCAGGAAGTAAACCAGCAGTCTGATTTTGGTGCTCATGCTCTTAACCAGAGTATCATAACTTCTTAAAAAGTTTAGGATTGTCATTTTATTACAGGAATAGAAAGCAGACCTACTGGTTCTATATCTTCCACCATGAGAAGTTTGTTTTTACCTTGAATTACTGGTGGAGTATCTTCTTGTGTAAGTCTCCAAATGTCTCATCTGAAAGAGTTGTTCTTTGTGTAAATGTATTTGTAATTTTTGTACCATTTTTTCATTCAATAGCAGATTGTAGAAGAGCTTTGTTATTTAAGTTTCAAATCGACAGGATAGTAAGATTGGTGATATGTGCATAACACTGAGCTGTGAATAATCATTCTCTTCCATGACAGGCTAATTTGGGGTTTGGGGTAGATTAAACAAATGAACAAAACCAACACTGCTCAGTCCCAGGTTAATTGTTAACAATCCAGTGGTTGAATGCAAATCAACAGTTTCCTTGAAACTATGAATTGGCTGCAAAACAGCCTTTCCAAGCAACAGTTTTAATGCAGTAACATTAGTTTGTTGCCACAAAGTAGATGATCAACATTTAGGCCTCTGCCAATTTACCAGGGAAGAAGAGAGTTGAAAAAGTAATTCTAATTTTTACGTAAACTTAATGACAATTTTGCAGAACTTATAGCACCTTGGTTTCTTTTAGAATTTATATTTTTATGCCAAATTTATTTTATTATGCTTTTTTTTTTTAGTAGGCAGTATTGTAGTGAATTTTAAAATTTTGTCTCTAGCTGTGCATGAACTATCTCAACATATCTGGGCCCAAAGTGAGTATTTCTAATATTAGTTGATGTGTTGAGATAATATCTGTGCACTCTAAGGTGGTTTCTATATGTTACTGCATTTCAAGCAGTTTTGTTTATTTTTGAGATGGAGTTTTGCTCTGTCACACAGGCTGGAATGCAATATGAGGATCTCGGCTCACTGTAACCTCCACCTCCTGGGTTCAAGCGATTCTCCCATCTCAGCTTCCTGAGTAGCTGGGAACACAGGCACCTGCCATAATGCCCAGCTAATTTTTGAATTTTTGTAGAGACAGGGTTTTACCATGTTGGCCAGGCTGGTCTTGAACTTGGTGATCTGCCCTTCTCAGCCTCCCAAAGTGCTGGGATTATAGGCATGAGCCACTGTGTCTGGCCATTTAAGCAGTTTTAAGAGTCCTTTTTTCTTTAATACATATTCAACAAGTGATGTCTTCTTTGGTTTATTCATGTTTTCATCACTTTTCAATGATTTTTTTCTTTTATATCCCTTAAGTTCTTCATGAAGAGAAAGCAAGATATGTATAATGACTTTTGTTGTTTAATATTTCTACAAGGTCTATTAATGTAAATATATGAGAAACACATTTTATTTGCTAATAGTTTGGGACATTATCCATTATTGCACCATTGATCACCTTTTCAGAAATACATAATTAATGTTAATTACCTTAGTTTTATTATGTATTGCTTGCAAAGAGAGAATGGACATAATTAGTGAAAATTCTTCAAAATCAGTGATTGGAAATCATTTCTAAGTTCATCCTACCCATTTTTAAAGCTAAATTGTTTGTTTGTCTTTAAATTCCTGGATCCCTGTTGTTTACACCATTAATAAGACATAGTGACCATAATTTAAACTAGCTGTGGACCAAGAGGAATGCTGTGATTCAGTTAAATAATGAAGATGATCATGATGAGGACAAGGACAATGAATTAATATAATACTAATATAAATATAAATACTAATATAAATAAATATGAATTAATATATTTACTGTGAGCTATCATATATTAGGCCATATGAAAACAGCTTTATTACTATCATCTCATTTCTCATGGCAATCACACAGTAATGTATGACAGTTTCACCTCCCACTGACAGATGAGGAAACGAAAACTTACTGAGGTTACCCTAGGCCATTCAGGTATGAAGACAACCCTGAGTCTGTCTGCCTCTGCAGCTCAAACTGTAACTACTGTACTATAGTATCTCCCTTTGACATAGCAAAAGGCCTTCCACTGTGAGGCTTCGTCCTCCCCAAACTCCTGAGTCTTGAGTAATGTGTTCCCGCCAATTCTCAGGTAATGAAGATTCAAAATTGATGGAACACTTTTATTTACAAATCACTCAGAGGTTACAGATTTTAAAAACAGAAGCGCCCCATTTTGTTCAGCATGATTGCCATTTTTCCTCATCTTCTTCATAGCTCTGAGACAGATTTAACCAAAAGCCACCTCCTGTAGCCTATTTTTGTTTTTTTACTTTTTAATAATGTTTTATTCTTTTAAAAATATTGTAATATACCCTGATATGAAAAAAGGAGACAGTCACTAGAGTCTTTCAAGCAAGTACAAGTAGAAAATACATTTGATGCTATTTCACTGTGTAGTAGGAAATAACACGTTTCCGTTACCCCATGATGAATCTAATGATAAAATCTAGATAGAGCCAGATCTATATTTTATTAATATTTTTATTGCTACGTGCTCCCAATACAACGAACAGCATCAGTAGTGTACACTTTGATAAAAAGAATTTTTAGCTTAGTAGAAAAGAAAGCTCAAAGGTCAGAAGTATAATGAATATGTACATCTTTTTGGAAACTGTGTCACCATCTGTATCTTCCCCTGTGGATGAGATGTATGCACACACAAGTAAACTAGAGAGATTTTATTCTATGGGAATTAAATAAAAGAGACTTAAGGCTCAGGGATTGTTTTACTATCTGGAATTCGACTAATTTGACTTTCAAAATTCTTGCACCAAGTAGCAGCAATTCTTTAGAGGTATAGAGTCAACATGTTAAGCTGTTAGTTTACAATGATTAAAATGTAAAAGTTCTTGCACATTCTATCCTTTGAGAGGTTACTATATCTACATTTTAGTTTGCATAATATCTTTAGACAGCTCAGGTACTGACCTCAAAATCGTTATGCTGATAACACTTATCTATCTCCTCTCATTTATGTGTAGTTCATAAAGCATTTATCTCTTTCAAAAATGTTTATAAATGTTTCTAATTCACAATTTCATTGAACAGCTAGCTGAGTCCATACAATTTAATGTTTCCTTGAAGGGGAACAAGTCATCAACATAATATCAACTACTAAAAATACAAGATGTTTGCCTAACATCAAATTTGTTCAGTTTTAGCTTTTGAGTTGGCTGCAGTAGTTTGCTTAATGGTCTTCTCTATGCACAGAACAAAGCATGCATCTCTAATTATGTCTCTCTAGTTTACCAAAATATGTAATTGATATTAGTGTAAATATTTAGTACATAAAAATACTATCAAGAAAAAAATCAACTTTTAATAAATATCTTCGGTTCTGAATTCTATATACAAGTACTTTACATCTATGCCCTGGAGAGAGCATTTCTGGCTTTGCTGTGAGTAAGGTGACCATTGATATAAATTATTAGCACAATATTGCAGTCAGATGCATTGTGGTTGTGAACATTTGAACATGAACCACTGGAAAATAAATATCTTAACCATCAACAAATGCATTCTTGAATGTGTCTTTAAAGCCCCACACCTCTACTATACTCAAATGGCAATTCTAGACTGATGATACTTTTCTCAGCTACCATCATACAAATAAGTTATCCCAAAACTTGTTTCTTTGTGATTATTACAGTACATTGAGTATAACTGTTTGTATCTGTCAACAATGGGAAAATTTAAAAAAAAAAAAAAAAAACACGCACACACAAAAACAAAGGACACCTCAATGGTGCCTACTGAGGTCTTGGTAAGAAGATTTCAGTTTTATCTCACATAGGTTCATTTACTATTCTTTGATCCCTGTGACCACAAGTGTCTTAAAACACCACTCCTTTAAATTATAAGTATAGAAGGCAATAGATAAGCTGAGATCTGTATATCTATAGCTTTTGTTTTTTTTTTCTTTTTCTATAATTTACATATCACGTTGTTGATTGATCAAAACCCTTTATATTGTCAGTAGCTGTAAGTAATTCTAACTTTTATCTTTTGTAATAATTCTGCTTTGAAAATCAACCTATGGAATGTCAAACAAGGCAATACTCAATGACAGGCACCTAGAACATCCAGAAATGTAATATAGTAAACAATCGTTTGAGAACACCTCTCTTAAAATAATACTGATTTCTGCAATATACAGTATTTACACAACAGCTTCAAATTTGCTCATACAATATTTCTAATATAGATAAATAGGAATACAAGTCTAAGAATTCTTTGCTTCATATCCAAAATTTCTTGTTAAAGTGTAAACCATTGGATCTCTTTTATTTTTGCTGTAATTTTTCTAAAACTTTAAAGTCAGCTGATATGCACAATTGGTTCCAGTCCCTTTTCTGCTTCAGAGAGTGACCAACACAAACTTAGCAACATATTTTTCTTCTGTAATAATCTTTGGTGCTTTCTTCCAATGAATTCTGGTAAATGAGTCAATGCAGAACAAAGAGGATGAAAGCAACTAGAAAGTGAGCCAGCACTTTCTGTTCTTCCATTTACAGATAAAATGGGCTGACGATCTATAGCGATTTCCACTTTAAACAAGCATATGCACCATGGGGAGAGGGAGGTTGTCCAGGTTTTCCTCTGGTTTCTAACCTTTTTGGTTCACTTTCTCATCTTCCTAAGTTGGATGATCTTGTCGGACGTCCACTGTCAATAATCTTTCCATCTTTCTTTGAGGTTCTTGCCTGAGAAGAAGCACCTATTGAATCACTGGCTGCAAGGTAGGAAGCAGCAGCCATTTGTGATGATGAATTGAGGTGGCCCCTCTTGGTTTGTGGGGAGGATAATATGGAGACCAGTCTCACAGTCTTACTTCCTGCTTGCTGAGCACTCCTCTGGGGTAAATTAGCACCATCAGGTTTACTGTTTGGCCTGAAAGCAGCATATGCATTTGGAGCTCCCACTGAAGAAATGCTACTCAAAGATTTCTTCTCTGCAGGAGTCTCTGAATGATAAGGAACCAAAGATGTAGGCATCACTAGAGATCGAGGGAGGTCACTAGGGTTAGAGATGGCATCATGAGTTTCAGCAGCTTCTAGGAGGTATGGTGGTGGCAGGGTGCTACTGCGCTTGCTACAGGACTCACAACATAACTTGTTATAACCTGGTATGGAGCAGTATCGTGCCAACACCTCCATCTGACAGAATATGGACTTGTCTCCCAAACATGGCTCATCTGCAAAAATCAAAAGAAAATAAACTAATACATGAATATAAACGTTAAAAAGGAGAGAAAATTTAAAAAATTTTTATGAATGTAAAAAGATTTAAGTGCAATCTGACACCAACGGGAGTAATCCACATGAGCTTTTGCATTAAAAATACGAACATTAGAATGAATTCACTAAAATAAGTAGCTCTTTATCTACAATGTCCTTGTGATGATCATCATTTTAATATTTCCACCAGAAGCCTTCAGACCACAGAGGGTGTTTTTTCTCCAAGTAGGAACATATATCTGACTTTAGAATGGGCAAAGAGAATTTATTTAACCTCGTGTTCAGATTTTTAGGATGCATGGAGGCATCTGTAATTTTATTTTATGGTATTTATGACTTTCTCAGAGGGTGCTCTCTAACATTGTTTAAAATGTGAAATCAAAATAAATACTAAGCACTCGTAAAAACAAAACAAATCTTAAAAAGGTATTCTCCAAAGAATAATCAAAATACCATCTTAATTTAAAAAAAATTATCCAGTTTGAATGCAGTAGTTTCATGTTTATCATTAAATATTCTCAGATTATTTGTTATTTGAATGCACAACTTTGGGTAAATTATGCTAGATTTCTTAGGAATAATTCATGGTTCTCACATTTAATTTTATTGAATTGACAGTTCTCTACGTTTAAAGGATACTAAATAACACTTGTAAAATGTAATTTCATTGAATTGATAACACTTTATGTTTAAAAAATAAAGTAATAACTCATAAAACACTTGATAACTGTTAAATACTTGATTTTGCCTGTGTACACGTTATTTTTATTACTTTAAATTTTTATTGATTCCAAGTTACAAGAATTGAGTATCAGATAATCCAAATATTAAGCTCATAAAAATGCTAATTTGTGCATAGGGGTATACCTTATGAAATAAAGACATATCCTATGTCTCTGCGATAACAGAACCAGTGCATAGAGTAGCATCCCTGCAGATGTGCAACATGGAAACCCTGATCCATGCCCTAATAATAAATGCAAAGAACTGTCAATTGTGGCATTTATGTAATAGAATCACTTAAAATTACAGTGTACTATTGGGTAATACTATATTGCTAAGAAAGAAACCTCTATATAACTTCCAAAAAATTGAAAAGTCCTTTTTCTAAAGTTTGAAAAAAGAAAAAAAGAGAGTGTCAGCTGGCAAGAGAGGACTAAAATTACCAACTTTGAGCTGTAACACTATGTCCACTTCCCAAATTGTGAAATGACTCCTATGTGCTTGACATGTGCAAATCTATTATACAGTATCATGTGTCTGAATACTTCATATAAGATAGTTCATCTAATTATGTTGTGAATGCCTGAGAAGTATGTTAATGGTTTCACCTTGAATATTAATTTCTCTTCATGTGTGAATTACTTTTTCTTAAAATCTATGTCTTAAAATAAGAAAATGTCTTCTTTCTATATGTGTCAGGCTCTAGGACTTAGGAGGAGAGGACTTTATTAGAGCTTGTCCTTTTTGCTCTGACTCCTTTTCCTTATGTCCCTTGTTCGGAGGCCCCAGTTGGAAGTATGACCTATTCTCCCTGAGTTAGAGAAAGGGTACAACACAAAGGTCTCCCATTTCTAAGTGTGAGCACTTTGGCATTGCAGAGTCCTGTTCATAACCTGGGTTTCATTAGGGCCAGAATGTACCTTTGTGTGGAGGGGCAAAAGGGAGAGAGATTCTGAGAAAAATATGAAAAAAGGAATACATTAACCTTATGGTAATTTGCCTACTGATAGATGGGAAGAGCTTATAGGCAAAAAAGGAGTACAATAAAAATATGGAGTCACATGAAAAAAATCAATCAGTTTTAAAAAAATTAAGGAAACTTTTCAGACTTCTCGCTCCACCTCCAAATCATTATAAGAGGTTCCGGAAAAGAGATTCACACATGGTCTCAAAAGGCCATTTGATTCTAATAGCAGTTTGAGATTAATAGCAGTTTGAAAAAAAAGTACTACTTATTTTACTTGAAATATGTTAGCAACATGCAACCTTTTAGAACTCTTAGGATTGGTGTTTGGGCCTCGATTTCAGAACAACAAAACAACTAAAAGGGACATGAAATCACTAACATTGTTAAGCTATCTTATTAGCTCTTTGGGTTACATTAAAAATAATTTCTTCTGGCTAAAGGAGGAGAATCAAGTAAATTCTTGCTGACCATTGGTCACATCTGTAGAAATACACAGCTATACCAGCTCTGAGATCAATAAAGCTTTCTCACAAAGTGGTAGCTTCTAAACAGGAATAACTACATAGGAATAAAGTATTATGGTGACAATATATGCTAAAACTTCTGAGTAAATTTTGTTTTTTTGGTTTTGGCTTGTACTTTGAGCTGTTGCATATATCAATATTTCCCAAAGTAAAATGATTAAATATATAAGTCCTATGTCTCCCTCTCATGGTACGATATGTTCTTGCTGTAATATATTTCAAATGAAAATTTATAATGAAATAATTTATAAGGGTTAAAGACTTAAAGCCTGAAATTTCTTCAAAAACTAAAACATTCGATAAGACAGTGCCTTGCCAATTTTCTTGACAAAAAGAAAGCACCATCCAGCAGATATCAATATTCAATCAATGTCTTTAATATTATACTTTAAGTTCTGGGGTACATGTGCAGAATGTGCAGATTTGATACATAGTTATACATGTGCCATGGTGGCTTACTGCATCCATCACCCTGTCATCTACATTAGTTATTTCTCCTAATGCTATCCCTCCCCTATCAACCCACACCTTGCTATCCATCCTGTAGCTCCCCATCCCCCGACAGGCCCCAGTGTGTGATGTTCCCCTCCCTGTATCCACGTGTCCTAATTATTAACACCCACTTATGAGTGAGAACATGTGGTGTTCTTGTGTCAGTTTGCTGAGAATGATGGTTTCCAGCTTCATCCATATCCCTGCAAAGGACACGAACTCATCCTTTTTGATGGCTGCATAGTATTCCATGGCTTATATGTGCCACATTTTCTTTATCTAGTCTATCACTGATGGGTATTTGGGTTGGTTCCAAGTCTTTATTATTATAAATATAGTGCTGCAATAAATATACATGTGCTTTTGTCTTTATAGTAGAATAATTTCTAATCCTCTGGGTATATACCCAGTAATGGGACTGCTGGGTCAAATGATACTTCTATTTCCAGACCCTTGAGGGGGTCTGTCTTCCATAATGGTTGACCTAATTTACACTCTCACCAACAGTGTAGAAGCATTCCTATTTCTCCACATCCTCTCCAGCAACTGTTGTCTGATTTTTTAATGATTGCTATTCTAACTGGCATCAGATGGTATCTCAGTGTGGTTTTGATTTGCATTTCTCTAATGACCAGTGATGATAAGCTTTTTTTTCATGTCTGTTGGCTGCATAAATGTCTTCTTTTGAGAAGTCTCTGTCCATTTCCTTTGCCCGATTTTTGATAGGGTTGTTTGCTTTTTTCTTGTAAATTTAAGTTTCTTGTAGAGGCTACATATTAGCCCTTTATGAGATGGAAAGATTGCAAAAATTTTTTACCATTCTGTTGGTTGATGGCTCACTCTAATGACAGCTTCTTTTTCTGTGCAGATGCTCTTAACTTTAATTAAATCCCATTAGTATATTTTGGCTTTGGTTGCCATTGCTTTTGGTGTTTTAGTCATGAAGCCCTTGCCTATGCCTATGTCCTGAATGGTATTGCCTTGGTTTTCTTCTTGGGTTTTTATGGTGTTAGGTGTTAGGTTTAAATCTTTAAATCCATCTGTAGTTAATTTTTGTATAAGGTGTAAGAAAGGGATCTAGTTTTAGCTTTCTGCATATGACTAGCCAGTTTTCCCAACACCATTTATTAAACAGGAAATCCTTTCCCCCATTGCTTGCTTTTGTCAGGTTTGTCAAAAATCAGATAGTTGTAGATGTGTGGCATTATTTCTGAGGCCTCTGTTCTTTCCCATTGGTCTATATCTCTGTTTTGGTACCAGTACCATGCTGTTTTGATTACTGTAGCCTTATAGTATAGTTTAAAGTCAGGTAGCGTGATGCCTCCAGATTGATTTTTTTTTCCTTAGGATTATCTTGGATATGCAGGCTGCTTTTTGGTTCCATATGAAGTTTAAGGTGTTTTTTTTTTTTCCAATTCTGTGAAGAAAGTCAATGGTAGCTTGATGGGGATAGCACTGAATCTATAATTACTTTGGGCAGTATATGGCCACTTTTCATGATACTGTTTCTTCCTAACCATGAGCATGGAATGTTTTTCTATCTGTGTTCTCTCTTATTTCCTTAAGCAGTGGTTAAAAGGTCCTTCACATGCCTTGTAAGTTGTATTCCTAGGTATTTTATTCTCTTTGTAGCAGCTGTGAATGGGAGTTTACTCATGATTTGACGCTCTGTCCATGACTGGGGTATAGGAATACTTGTGAGTTTTTCACATTGATTTTGTATCCTGAGACTTTGCTGAAGTTGCTTATTACCTTAAGGAGATTTTGGACTGATATGATAGGTCTTCTTAATATACAATCATGTCGTCTGCAAATAGAGGCAGTTTGACTTCTCTTTTCATAACTGAATATCCTTTATTTCTTTTTCTTGCCTGATTGCCCTGGCTAGAACTTCAAGTAGTATGTTGAATAGGAGTGGTGAGAGAGGGCATCCTTGTCTTTTGCCAGTTTTCAAAGGGAACGCTTCCAGTTTTTGCCCATTCAGTATGATATTGGCTGTGGGTTTGTCATAAACAGCTCTTATTAAGATATGTTTCACTGATACCTAGTTTATTGGGAGTTTTTAGCATCAAGGGCTGTTGAATTTTGTTGAAGGCCTTCTCTGTATCCATGGAGATAATCATGTGGTTTTCGTCTTTGGTTCTGTTTATATGATGATGGGTTATGTTTATTGGTTTGTGTATGTTGAATCAACATTGCATGCCAGGGATTAAGCCAACTTGATCATGATGGAGAAGTTTTTTGATGTGCT